CTTCCTTCCTTCCTCCTACTACGACCAACCCAACCACGACGTACGGTCGTAACCGTAAACCGTAACCTAACTAGTTAGTAAGTACGTGTAGTGCTACTATATACTCTCTCTCTCTCTCTCTCTCTCTCTCTCTCTCTCTCTCTCATAAATTGCATTAATTTACCATTTGGCTTTGCTCTCTATGGCAGCTCCTGAGAAGAAACACAGGCTCCCTTCAGCTTACAATCGGTTCATGAAGTACAAATATTTGAAGATACTGCCGAAAACTTCTATTTATTAATTAATGTTACAGTTCTAATGATTTTATTGATTATTGAATGTGAATTTATGTAGGGAGGAGATAAAGAGAATCAAAGCTGGAAACCCGGAAATACCACATAGAGAAGCGTTCAGCATGGCTGCAAAGAATGTAAGCTAAATAGTTGTAATGATGATTATGATAATAAAACGACTTATTTATGCACGGATCTTAAAATTCTTTCTAAAATACGAAACGCTCCTAAGTGGAAATTACAAAGAAATTCGTTCAACCCGTTTTTTTTTTTTAAATTCAAAATTGCCTCTCAATCCAAAGTTTTTTAAAACCGAAATTTAATTGTTTTTTGTAGGACACTACCCTTAAGCTAGGGGCACCGACTAATAAAAAAAACTAAATAAAAAAAAATAAAATTTCGATTGATGACGGAGAGGTAATTTTGAAACAATAAAAAACAATAGGTTGATCAAACTTCTTTTTAATTTCTGTCTATAAATGAAGTATTTTTTATTTTAAATAACACATTTGGATCCATACGATAAATCACTCTAATAAAATCACAATAATAACAAGGACAAGGTGAACAGGAAGGCCAGGAACGGCGGACACATAATGCTGAACTTTTTTAGAACATATCCATTGGTTCTTTTTTATACAATGCAACTACAAGGGACATTATGCAAACATTGGGGCCCATTGAACTCCTACTTCTTTCATAAAAATGGAATTTTGTAACACGTAATACTGGCCGTTCATTTTGGATCCTTCAATATGGGCCATATTTTTTATCCTTTAATGTGCGCCATTGGGACCACTACTTACCAAGAGTTATGATCATTTTTCTTCTTCTTCTTCCTCTCCTTCTACTACTAAGTAGTAGTAATAGTAGTAGTAAAATTTTAAATCATGGATAGTAATAATAAAATCATGGATCGGACGGTAATAATAGTAGTAATATTTTAAATCGTGGATTGGTAGTATTTTAAATCATGGATAATATAGTAGTATTAGTAATAGTAGTGGTAGTATTTTAAATCATGGATAGTAATAGTAAAATCATGGATCGAATAGTAGTAATATTTTAAATCATGGATCGGGTAGTAATAGGAGCAGTATTTTAAATCATGGATCGGGTGTATGGATCACCCACCAATTGGAACAAGTAGTAAAATTGTGAAGGATGAAGTTTCTACAAGGCCTAGGCTTTATGAAAACAAAATAAAGCCTCACCTCAAATTCTCATCCGCAAAGTACTTTCAGCATCAGAAATCGCCCTCTCTATTTATTAGGCTTATCTAT